AGGTCCTTTCTCAGGAACTCCCCTGGCATCCAGCAGTCTATGGGTTTAGTGATGTCGCTGGCAATTCAACAGGTTTATGATAGGAGAACCCACTCTCCCTATGTTGGAAATCCACCCCATCTCCTCCCTCATTCATTCCACCCATTCGTCTAAACACCAGATCCTCTTCCTCATCTTATACAGGCCTTCTTGCCTGGTGTGGGAAAGGATATCTTTTAATTTTGGTCTAAGTAATTCTTTCCCATGAAAATTTATATGGTCTTCTTCCTAAGAGTTCTAATAAGGCAATAGTTTTCTCTTTTAAGAGAATGTTTGTAGTTCCTTGACATTTTTTGTCATATGTGTTCTCTGTTCAAGAAATACAAGAGAGTAAAATAGCAGGTCCCTTAATTTACAGCCCAGCATGTCCACACCCTTCCCCTCAATGCACACAACCCATCTTTTTACAGTGCTGTGTAGACATCTCTGAGCCTATTTTGGGAAAATTTTTACTGGCTTTTCCCAATTCCTCATTCACAGGGAGAATTTTGCACCTTTATGTGCAAGCCCATTTCCCCAGCACCTGCACCAGGAGGTCTCCTAGGAGGTTCCAGGGCTGGTCCATGTGCAGTTGACAGTAAGTCCACATGGGAGCCTTGGGGTTGAAGAATGTTCTTCACGAAGTTGAGATTCCCAGCTGAGGTCTTCTGATTTGGTCCCTGTACTCAGGATCCCTGCTTCCATGTACTGACATAAACTGACCGGGGCTCCATGGTCTACCTCAGTCCTCTACCCACCTTCCCTCTGGGTCATTCCCGCCAACATTAGAGTAGACTTCTAGACTTCCTGCTTGCTCTGTTGTCCTTCCTCTCCCTTGTCCTGATTTTCATTCTTCAGGGACCTTGGTTTGAGTTTCCTTCTGAGTATAGTTGGCCAAATATGAGCATTCTGTCTGTCTTCAGAACACCCAGCTAGGTCTTTGCATCTCTGAGGGTCCTGGCATCCTCCCATGTCTTGTGATATCAGTCCTTAGGAATGAGAACTGGCCAGGTCATGGTTGGAGGCTTCTTCTCACCAATGCACAATGATGGGGCAGTCATCTCTACCCTAAGCTGGAGGTATCCTCTGGAGCACCTTCTGAGAATTCCCTGTGCCATTTAAAAATTTTTCATTCATAGATAATTACTATTCCACTTTATTTTTTGTGAATTACCTGCTGAAATCCTTTGCCAGTTTTTCTTTTGGAGGGTTTATTCTTTTTTTTTTTTAAATTCTCAGTAGTTTTTTTGCACACAAAGAAGATATATTCCTTTTAGCTGGCATATGTATTGGAAGCATTGTTCTCAGCTTGTCAGTGACTTTCAATTTTGTTTCAGACTTTTGTTAAGATATAAAGCATACTTTGACAACATAGTTATTTAAAAGGTATTGTATAACTTTAAGAAATTGATTTTCAAGACTTGATCATTATTTTCTAGTTTTAGTAAATTTGATTAGAAAGTGTATAGACCCAAACCTATATAATTTTCTTCTTTGAGAGATTTATTGAAGTTATACTGTGGCCTAGTTTATGATCTTTTCTTTTCTTCCTTTTTCTCTTTGGTTTTTTGAGACAGGGTCTTGCTAGGTAGTTCAGAGTCTCACTATATATGGCCTTGAACTTAATATATAGCCCAGCCTGGCCTTGAACTCAGGTGATCCTCCTGCCCCAGGCTCCCAAATGATGGGAGATTATGGGAGATTATGGGAGCATTGATCTTCTCATAAATCCATAAGCATTTGAACAGAAGTTTCACTCTTTCTAATACATTTTCCTTACATTACACATATTTTTCACTACTTATATTATACATTAGTAATATAACATTTTATACTATATTTATATAATATATATTTATTTATAAATATACACGGTGTCTTTGCCTTTTCTATTTGATTAGGCTACTGAGCCATGCTGTTTTTGGTGTTTATGTTGTGGCATGCAATTAGACTTTGATTATTTAGTCTGAGAGATTGTCTCTATTTTAACTCACTTATATTTATTGTCAGAACAGAATTAGTTTTTCATTTACCAGTTTTTATTACACAGTTTGAATATGTTCATGCAATTTATTTTTAAATGTATTGATTTCATATGTTCTAGTTTTCTTTATTTTTTGCTATGGACTTTGATTTTGGTTTTCTTTGAGTTCTTAAAAAATTATAGCAAGACATCTGATTCTTTATAGAACGGCTTTCAGTTGAATTCCCCTTCTGAAGGAAAGGCAGTTACCCAAATTTTATTTTTGCAAGCATTCCCACACTTCTGTTTGTTAGTTCTCTCTGAAGGACCCGGCTCCCTTAATAAACCACTCTGCTAGAGTGGTTGTTGTGCTAGAGCAACTGCCCTGTTCTGTGCAACTCTCATGCCCCATCACTTCACATAATTCCCGAGGAGCCACATGTTACTTCACTGGTAGATCTTCTACCACCAAGGAAGCTGCCTCCTCACAGCCATTGCCCTGCCTCCAACAGTTTCCTACTCACTTGCTATAACTTTTAGAGCTCCAGGTTCCACTGAGAACACTGAGCTTTGAATCCACAGATCTGGAGCACGTAAGCCACAAAAAGATTCCACAGGGAGGTGTTCCTGATGATTTTGTCACACATCTTGCCATCCATCCACAGGCTTGGCTTAAACTGAGGAGAAAAAGACTGAGGGACAGGGTCTGTTTTGAGGTTGTCGAGGTGGTAGAGATAAACACTGAAGGTAGGTTGGACCACAACAATGAGATTGATACCTGATTGGTTTTGATCTATAAATGGCAGCTTCCTAAGGTCCGTCCTGATAGCTGGAAATATAAGGACAGATTTAACAAACGCTAGTACTGACTATTGTCAAGTAAAGAAGAAACTGAGCGATGAGGCAAAGGAGGTCTACAGAATGATGGTAGAATAGTCTCAGATCATGAGAAAAATCATGACAGTGAAACATCCTCAGAGCCCAGATAAGAGAGAGATCCCAAAGGGAAGAAGTAATGAACACTGACAATTGTAGAGGAGTGGTTTAATGGTAATAATTGGAGTAGACATTTCTTGAGAATATTCTGATGTCCAAAGGAGAACATTAACTCCTTTAATATGAAAATTTATGCGATGAGGTAGACATTGTAATTACAGACAGAAACTGAGTCACACAGCAGTACACTATGTTGCCCAAGGTCGCATACCAGTAATTGGCACCGTCAGGACTCTAACCCAGGCATTTTGATACTAAGCCCAATTACTACATCATCTTCCTTCTCAATGCAAGATAATGCCTGGAAAAAATATTCACTGGACTCCGCATTTATGGTATTGCTGGCGTCAGTCATGAAAGCAGTTTTTCTGGGGGCTGTCAGAGACGAAATTCAAATTCTTTGGCAGGCTGGGGTTTTGCAGGATGGAGTAAGGAAATGTTGGGAGTGAGTGCTGATTCAACTGTGGAGAATTTGAAGTGTGATTGAAACATACTTGGCTGGTAATAGAGAAGAACCTACTACAGAGGGGTATCTTTCAAGAAAGGTATTCTAAGCATTTACCTATGTCAAGGTCAGGGATGAAAGAGATGGCTTGAAGATACAAAATATTGAGAGAAAACCAAGAAGCTGGAACATGTCTGAGTCAAGAGCACCGGCATCACATATACGGGGCCGGGTGTGGTGGCGCATGCCTGTAATCCCAGCACTCAGGAGGCTGAGGCAGGAGGATCACTGCGAGTTCGAGACCAGCCTGGGCTACAAAAGTGAGCTCAAGGCCAGCCTGGACTGCATAGCGAGACTCTGTCTCAAAAAGACAAAAAACAAAAAGAAAAACAAAAACAACTGGCATTTCCTGCTGAGAAGAGATTGTTGTTGGTGTGAGTAAAGATGAGGCGAATGGAGAGCACTTTAGAAATCAGCCCCTCCCTGTCCCCTTGCCTCTCGATGATGTGATGTCTGCTCGAACTGAAAAGGTGGATCTTGAAAGGGGACATTTGTGTGGGGTTACAGTAGCAGAGAAGGCAGATTTGCAGTAGACGCTAATGTTGGAATAAAGGTGGAGAGGAATTGGGGCTTATGCAGAGAATTGTATAGGTGTTAGCCTGGGGGAATGTGGGCTTGTGGAGTGTATAGAAAAGTCCAGGTGTAGGGATAGACTCTGGAAGAGCAGAGGTCCAGATAGCATACGAGCCCAAGAAGCAGCTTAAAGAGAAGTGAGTTGGGAATGGACAGTGGAGTACGAAATTATACCACAGTGTGGGAAAGGGGACTTTCCAAGTTGTAGAAAGGGACAAGGTAAGGCTGAGGGTGCAGCTGTAATGGGCTGGAAGGTGAAGGTACCTGTAATTAGGGAGGTCAAGGGTGTTGCCCACAAAGCTCTTTATATCCCCTACATGAAGATAAAGGTTGGGTGTGAAGGAAGCCATTCACTGAATTATGAAATTTTTAATAAGAAGTGAGGTTGGAGTCAAAGTGAAGAATTCAAAGAACTTACAGCTCTCTATTCATGGACATCAACAGGTAGGTTGTTTCTTATTTTTAAGAGATGCTATTAAGAAACCCAAATGAGTATGTTACTAGGCAATGTAGAATTAAATCAGAATGAATCTCTTAGGCTTCTGCTAGTTTCCAAGGTCAGCATCTTTCTCATCCTTCAGAAACAGTTGAGGCATTCAGAAGTGGTTCTTCCCTGTGCCTCATTTAAAACCACAATGAAAAAGCTGTAAATTGGGGTCCCTGGTCCAGGTTCAGGTTGTTTTTCCTGCATCTAGTGTTATTTCTGAAATCCATTAAAAATGTTCCATGGGGCTGACGTTGGTCACTAGTCACCAGAGTGTGGTCTTTTGCCTTGTTTTTAAAATCCAAGTCAAATGCCAGGGCAGCATGCTGTCCTAACATAGGGTTTCTTTGGTTGGTCCTAATGGGCAGCTAGAACATAAAGGGACTAGGGAATGGGCAGCCAGCTAAAATAAACGCGTGAAACAGCTTCTGCAAAATTGACTCCTGCCCTGTGTGTTGCAGGTGATTTTTGAATCCGTCTCTTTGAAGGGTCATCCTGGCTACATCGCGGTGGATGAGGTCCGAGTCCTTGCTCATCCGTGCAGTAAGTCTGTCCCTTTCCCCCAGTGCAACCTTACTCCATGCCAGACTGGATAGCAGGGAAGCTACACTTCCCCTGTTTGTTCAGCTCACAAACATCTCTCACTCGCTCTCTCTTTTAATCCTGCAAAAATGCTTACATACCCAATGCAATCAGTCCTGAATAAATCCATAATTTTGCTGGCCTGCTCAACTGGGAACACCTCTAGGAATTTGCAGAGAGTGGCAAAACATCTTCGTCTGAATCTCTCTCCATTATTAAAGGAGACTAAAGTCCTGATTGTTTATTAGTGGGATTCAGACCACTGAAGTGGAAGAATTAGAGGGCTTTGGATAGAATATTGTGCAATTGTCTTTAAAAAAGGAATGACACCAAAACACTGAGCAAATTAACACACTGTTCACTCACAGGGAAAAGTACCCCAAAGCTATTAATTCTTTAAAAATAATTTAAAATATACTCATCAGCTCCATGTAGGCATAGGGAGAGATTTCTGCTAGCAGTTAGTATTTATGGTACAGTGTCAAGAATACTCAAAGTCGCACCATCCTCCATCTCCATCCATTTTCCCCTTGAAGTTCCCTCTTTGTAGAATTCAGTTGAAGGTATTTGAATGTGCTTCCTTTTCCCCACTGAATCAAAGGGAGCAAGCGCTGAGTGAAGGTGATCGTGATGACATCATTTCTAGAGACGTTTGTTCCAGGGGACTGTAATCAAAGGGATATGCATGGGGATTAAGGCAGCTCACAGAGAGAATAGCTGGGATGCTAGCCCCCTAATTTGTCAGTACTTTGCATTTTGGAGATTCCTGTCATTTTTTGGGCAGTCATCTAGTTCCAGGTAACCTAGGAGAGCTCTTGTCACTTTCCTGGTGTGATCATGAGTCATAGGGTTAGTCAGCTTTCTGTTACTGTAAAGAGGAACCAGAGGCAGGATAAGTTTGAAAAGAAAGTTGGTTTATTTACCAGATGTAAGAATGGAAGATCTGGTAATCTGAGCAATGTAGTTGAAGATAACAATATGTAGTATCACAGCCACTGTTAATTCCTATCATTTGGTTTTGAAACCCTGCATCACTTTTAATGTTCTTGCTTTGTTTTGTGTTTGTGATGTTGGCATGCTGCTATTGTTCTTCCTTTCCCTTTTACTACTCTCTTTAAAATAAAAGAAAAAAGAAAGAAAAAGAAAATTTGTTTATTTAGCTCACAGTCTTAGAATTAAAGGGCATGGCAGTGGCACTGGCCCAGATCTGGTGATGACTTTCTGGCAAAGTCCTGAAGCAGCACAGAGCATCACGTGACAAGAAACAGGGAGTGGATGTGTCTGTGAGGTCTCTGTCCCTCTTCTATAAAGACACCATGATTTACTCATAAGTGCTTCATGCTAATGACCTTATTTAAGTCTACTCACTTTCCAAAAACCCCACCTCTAAACATCACAACTGGAATAAGTGGTCACTCACTTAATGCCAATAACTTTGGGGATTAAACTCTTGCATGGTCAAAGGGTCAACCCATAGCACTTGTGCTGTGGGCTGTGGTGTGGCTTGCTGCTACTTCAAGAGACATCATATATATATTACTTAGGAGCCTTGTAATCCTTTCATCGGGGAGCTGTTCTCATCTCAGCCACATCCATCTTGCTTTAATTGAAATTACTTTCTCCACTTTGCTGCGGTGAATTTGTCAGACCCTCACACACCACATCTTTCCCTCTTCCTGGTGCTAAAATGCCATAGTGTGACTCACTGCCTTTCAGCACCTTCTCAGGAGGAACTGGAGGTAAATTCCAAGTTCCAGACAATGCTTCTCTTTTGGAAAACTCAGAAACTAGTCAGCATCTCAGGAAGGCTGAAGTCCCCTAGCCTCTTCAGTACTCTGACATAAAGTCTGTATTCTCTGGGTAACTTCCTGAGCCTTTTAGACTTTCTTCTAAAACTCTAAATGGATGGGTCCATCCATTTAATCATGCTTGTGAAATATCACTGCTGAACCAGGCTTTCTGTGAAGAGGATGCTCGAAATCCTCCCGCTATGCAGCATTTACATAGTGGACACCCACATGAGTTCTCCTTACCAGGATTAAATACAGTATTTCCCGCCCTGGGAGTTAGCATCAGCTGCCCACTGAAGAGTGATCTTTGGTTTAAGACTAGCTAACTGTCAGGAGATGTCTGCTCTATCTGTGATCCCTTTAACCATACCCTCAGCCTTACGTGATCCCTAGTTTTAGGCAGTTTTCCTCAAGCAAGCTTTCTACCTTCATTAGTCCCTGTATGTGTTCATTATGGGGCATCTGCCTGAGTTCCTGCTTCATACTTTTATGCTGGATGCCTGGACTTGGTCTGTGCAGTAGGTGATGCTAGGCTCTTCCCAGCAGAATATAGCATGGCTTTCTCTCCCTCGGTCCCAGCACCTCTACTATCGCAACCAACCTTGTTACTCTGTCTTGTCCCAGTCTGGTAAAAGCTCTCTTTTGCTTCTAGCACTGTCCATAGTTGCCACCACAGGAGAAAAGACTCCACTCTTCCTGATAAGTATGATAAGAGAGAGTGTTCTCTGGGTGGCATTTGAATGCCTTTCTACCTCCAGAGTCCCATGACTCCCTGGACTCTTCCTTTCATTGGTGCTGCTGTGAATTTAGGATTCTTCTGACAACTTCATCCTCCTCCTGCTGAGGAGTATGGATTGCTTGGTTATAGAACTGCTGAGAGCCAGTTACCCAGCAAATGGGCCATGGGATATAATTCAGGAGGACGTGGCCCTGGCTTTATTCCTGCATAATGTGCTTTGCTGAGTTCAACCTCAGTTGCTTGGAGGCTTAAGAACAAGTTTCCCAGAAACCACAATGTGGGGCCTCAGTAAGAGCAGCTAGAATAAGGAAAATCCCACTTAATTACATGTGGAAAATTTTGGCAGCGTATGTAGTTAGCTGATGTGTGTCCTTAGCCCGTGGATCATGTGGAGTTGAGTAGGGCCTCACAAAGCCACTTACCAGGACCTGTGCTCAATCCATACCTAGCCCATGAGTTTTTCTATCTTTTCTTTCAACAAGTGGATTATTGAATGTGTGCTATGTATTCAAGAACTGCTCTGGGCAGGGTGTTTACTTAAGAACGACAAGTTAGGTCCTTGTGCTCATGCTGTTGACTTTGCAAAATGGCAGCAGGAAGAAAGGCACTATATAAGTAAGTTATATTAAATAAGTAATTAATAATTTCAAGTAGCACTAAGTGCTGTGAATATAGTAAATATGAGTGACTAAGATTGGTGGTTTCCTTAGGTGGAGTGGTCAGGGGAGGCGTCTTTGAAGTGGCCTTGAGCTGAAACCGGAATCATAGGAAGGAGCTTCTTGTGCAGTGGCTTGGGGACCGAATATTTCAGGCAGAGGTGATAGATGCGCAGGAGCCCCGAGGTGGGAGTCATTCAGTGCTGTTGGTGTGTGCTGAGCAGATGGGACAGAGCAGAAAGGGGTGCAAGTAAACATGGGTCCTGACTTAGGGCCTTGAGCATCATGATGAACAGTTTAGATGTTAATCTAAGTGTAGGGAAGCAATACTAGAGATGGGTATGACATCAGTTCATTGCTCTGTGAGAAATGAGTTGAAGAGCCATAGTGAAGGTCAGGAAAATGGCAGTGAAGAAAGTTCTGGAGCCATGCAAGAAATGGTGGAAGCTGGACCAGAGTGGTGAAGAGTCGCCCATTTACCAACCAGCAAGTATTTATGGAGCATGTAGTTAATGCCAGGCACTAGGTTTATGGGAGTGTGTTCTCTTTTCATTCTCTTTTCTCACAGGCTTCCGTTAAAATGAAAGAGAATGAAAATAAAACAAGTAATGAGGTAATTCTATGATATACAACAGATGGTGAATTACTTTGCTAGGACTGCCGTTACAAAATACCACAGACTGGGTGGGTTAAACAACTGAAGTGTATTTTCTTACATTTCTCAAGTCTAGAAGTCCAAGGTCAGGGGTACTGACAAATTTGGTTTCTTGTGAGTCCTTTCTCCTTGGTTTGCAGATGTTCACCTCCTCATTGTGTCCCCACATGGTCTTCCCTCTGTGTGTGGTCCTTGGTGTCTTCTGTGTGTCCAAAGTTCCTCTCATAAGCACAGTCAGGTTAGGTTAGGGTCCACTCAGTGGCCTCATTTGAACTCAATCACTTTGTTTAAGGTCCGATTTCCAAATATAGTCACATTCTAAAGCACTGGGGATCAGGGCGTCAACATACGAATTTGGCAGGGGACACAATTTAGTCCATAACAGATGGTAGTGCTATGAAGAAACATAAAACATAGAGATAGTGGGGCTGGGGATATAGCTCAGTGGCATAAGCGCCTGCCTGTCAAGCGCAAGGTCATGAGTTCGATCCCTGGTACTGCAAAAAACAAAAACAAAAACAAAAAAAACCATAGAGATAGTGAGTGGTGGCTGGATTATAGATGTATACAGGTATCAGAGCTCCCTGGTCTTATTTGATGAGCTGGGTTGGGAGACCAAAGCATGAAAGAAATCTGTTTCCAGATCTCTGGCTTAGGGAAGCTGGCCGTGCAAGTGTGGGGGAGAGCTGAGCATGTGTGCTGGCTCCTGAGATGATGACCATGGCCTGGGGGGCTGCTCATGAGATTAAATGTCTTGCCATATATAGGAGCTTGTGACCTGTCCTTTACACTGACAGCACTTTCTCCAACCCTCAGCCTTAGAATGGGTGTATTTATGACATTACTCATAAGCTGTGAAATATTTAACTATATTGAAAATTATGCATTTCCTTTAGGTCCTCCAGTTTTTAATTCTCCTGTCTGTCCTTCAAATCATGCTTTCCATTAATACAGGACCAGAGTTTATCCAGAAGTGAGTTTACTAATTATTCCAAAAGTTTTTTGGGGGGTGAATGTCTGATTTGCAAATTGCATCATGTACAGATTAGAGCTGAAGTTATCACGTTAAAGCTTCTAAAGCTTGCCTGAAAGCTTCCAAAGCAATGACCAGCAGTCCGGTGTGATACTCGAAAGAAATTATTTTCTCTTACAACCCTGAAGTCTCTTGTCTACACTTTATAGCCCGTTTAACATTTTTTTGTTATTCCAAAAGTAGTTTAGCCAATAGTTACTGTTGCTGCCATTTTTCAGCGTTAGCCATTAGCAAGGCCTCTGCAGTTATCACTGTGTACGATAAATGTCAGCACCATTTTCCACTTGGTTTCAAAGTTTCTAACTCCTCAGTTGACTTTTGGAATTCTTTAAATCTATTTTTTTTCCCATCACAACCTTGCAGGCCACGTCCCTGAGCCCACAGAGCATCTGCAACACGTCTCTAATGTATGTACTGAGCTTTATCTTCAATTGTGTGGCTTCCTACTGAGCTCTGTCAGGTTTAAAGAGCGAGATAAAGGGCACAATAATACGTCTTCAGATGCTGCACTGACATCTGCAGGAGTTTAAATGTCACCAGCATTTTGCCCCAAATGCACAGCCAGCTTTCTCTTAACCCCATTCTGCGGGATCTCAGTTTTGGGGAGGCTGAGTTTCAGAGGGGAGGAGGTGGGAGATGCTTAAACCACAGATGGTGCCTGGCCTGGGTCTGGAGGTCAGCTGTGTGTGGCTGAAGGTTGGTGAGCTGAAGGTGGTGGAATAATTTCTCTCTTAAAGCTAAAGAGGGGTGGGGAGAGAAATAATGGAAAAGAGTTTGGCTGAAGCGAATATTGGAGCAGGGGAGAGAAGAAAGAGGGTGAGAGAGGCCAGGAGCTCCAAGAGGAGGGCCTCACAGGTCTGCAACATGAGGAGGATCCCTAGAGAGATTTCGGTCATGTGTCAAGGGTAAGACCAGGCCTCAAAGAGCACAGAGAAGAGTGGAGGCCCACAAAGAGGGTGCTGAGTGAGGAGAGGCTGGTGGAGATATTTCCTGGGATTTATGGCTCACATTCACTCGATCCCAACAGTGTGGTACATGGAGGGGTGGGGGTGTCACTGAAATAACGGGACCAGACAAAGCAAAGGTGTCCAGCGGAAGTTGTTCCAGGTGACTAATATAAAAGCAATATATCAGAAACCACAAAATAATACAGCCTGCCTGCTGATGTGTTTTGCTAAACTTGCATGGTATTTTTAAAAAATTCAGGCATGATTTTAGATTGAGCGATTTCATATAATATCTGGATTTCTCTTGAGGCCCCCCTCCCCCATGAAAGCACTTTTCCTCCCTCCCTCCCTTTGCTGGTCTGAAGCAGCAGCTGCCCACTCTCTGTGGGACACAAGGTGTCTGCACCTCTCCCAGAGCCCCCCTACACTCTGTCGCCTTTCCAGTGTTGAGGCTGGTGTCAGATACCAGATATAATTGTGCTTGCCACACTGTTTTTCTTACAGAGAGGAGTCTTTATTTTACCCACATCTTTATCAAAAGCGGGAAAATGCAAGGTAGGGCAAGGAGGTGGGGTTTTAATTTTGATTTACAACAGATCCACTTTATTAATTTGCATACCTATCTAGCTCTTGTAGGTACACAGGTTTGACATCTCTGCTGTAAATCAGCAGTGATTCCTCAGAATATTAACACCAGGGGCCATTAAACACCTACACTGCGAATCAACAAGGGAGAAAGGAGAGGGATGGAAAATGAAGGAATCAAGACAAAAGGTCTGTGGCTGAGAAAGGAAAAGTAGGGAGGAGAGGAGTCAAAAACAAGCTGGGGACATTGATCTGGAGAAAATCTATCTCTAATTGCACATGTCGCAGAGCTTAATTGTTTGCCCAGTGTCCCAAAGGCTGAGGGAATACCACCTCCCTGTAAAACCTCACGCAAATATTCCCAGCACTGGAGCCAGTATTCTGTACACCCTTCTGTGATGGGGTGGATGTCCCCCTCCAAACCTGTGGCATAAACTGATTTACAAGGTTCACTCTATTCCCTCCTGAAGAATTGACTTGAACTGATAGTTCCAAAAATAGCTTCGTAAAATTATACAGGAGAACCAAAAGAAAACAATTTCAAGCAATCAAAGCAGCATGACATTTGTCAGATTGACTAGATGCAGGAATCTTAAACTCTGAGAAGTCTTCAAGGAGAGGTCTTCCCTGGGCCTTGGACCCTGGAAGCCACTCTAGCCACAGGGTCCTGAAGGTAGCATGTGGGGTCTTTGGGCTGTTGTCATTAGTTTCAAAACCTGAGCAGAAGGTGTCTATTTTCTCCCAGCAAGTGTGCTGGATCGCGCAAAGGCCCTATGGCTTTTGTGGAGATTTACAGGTGGTGACATAGTTTGGTAGACAAATTCCATTCAAAGCAAGAAGCCAATCAAGGAAAGGGGTCACTCGAAAATATTTAAGAGTAGGGAGAGGAGCCTGGCCTGGCAGCCGGATGTCTGTCCGGTGGCACTATCTTCATCCCCAATGCTCAAGATGCAAGAGAGCATGCTATGTGAGTCCTAGGTTGGGGCTCAGATAGAACCAGGATGAGTTCTGTTTCTGTCTCTCACTGGCACTGTGTAGCTTCAGGAATATTAAACTTGTTTGAACATTGGCTTCTATCTCTCTAGCGGGGAAATGACAACAGTATCTGCTGCACAGGGGTGTGATAAGGTTGAATTAGATAAAACATGCAGAGCGTTTATCATATCTGGCACTGGAGGAACTTTCAGTAAATGACATTATTGTTACTATTTATCTCTTTCTGTTTTTAACTCCCTCTGGAAAGATGGTGTGTGTGGATCCTCTTTGATCATCTCAGAAATCTCCAGTGGGTCTCATTCTAGGTTGGCTTAGGCCATGCTCATCAATGGCTTTGTTGAGGATGGTAGGGATCCTTTACTGTGCTCAATGAAGACACATTCCTCTAGTCATGGGCGGTCAGCTGATGTAGTACTAACAGTGCTGGTATTTGGAGAGCAAACAAGGAAAAAGGTGAATCCAAGTTACCCAATGGAAAACGTGTGTTTAATCCTAGGACTGATTGCCTAGAGACACTGATTTGCATTTGAAAGCCCTTTCTGCTGCTATGACATCCACAGCATCCATGTCCCACTACCCAGTCTTGCTCAGGCAGTGATGTTGCTTAGACGTAAGAGCACATTGTGGGCTCCGTGACTTTGGGGAAGTTTCTGGATTTCTGTGTATCCCAGTTCCCTCGCATACAATAGAGTAGCACCACCAGCAGCGGCACTGGGTTGAATGAATTACTGCACATAAACACCGCAAGTGGCACCTGTCACACAGCAGCACCCAGTGACTGACAGCTCCTAGTGTGCTCTTCCTCTCTCTTATCCCTCACATTGCATTCGCCTCATCTTCGTTAGCAGCAGCATCACCAATGTCAAGTGCAGATCTCAAGCCAAAGGAGCTTTCCCTCAGCTTTAGATTTTCTGCCCACCCAGGGAGCAGGAAAGACCCTTGTGTGGTGAAGATCTTCCCTCCACCCCACTCCAATCTTCTGTCTTCCTAGCTCTGAGTTCTCTGATTCCCTCTCTCATCTGGTGCCAGGCCCAGGGGCAGTAGTGAATTTGGATGCGTTTTAGGGTGCATGTGCCAATCTAACAGAATCGTATCACACAGTAGCTGGTAACAGGGACTTTGAGGGTCTCAGGGACCTGGACTGATGTCTTGCTTCCCTCCTTTCTGGGTGTCTGACTGTGTGAAACCAGATCACCCCTCTGAGCTATGGTCTTCTGTTCTGTGCAGTGGGGAACGTGGCGAGGCTTGCGTGAGGTGATGTGTGTAAAATCCATAGATCGATGCCTGCCTCCCGAAGTGATCCACCGGCTGTTCACGGAGCCAGGCCTCTTCCCAGGCACACTTGCCCTGCTGCCCAGTGCCCATCTTCAGCTGCCATTCATGACAGGGAAGTGATGCAAGCTGTTGAATCCTGTCCTCACGTGTTCTTTGGTTTCTGTCTTAGGAAAAGCACCTCATTTTCTGCGACTCCAAAACGTCGAGGTGAACGTGGGGCAGAATGCCACGTTTCAGTGCATTGCTGGTGGGAAGTGGTCTCAGCATGACAAACTTTGGCTCCAGGTAAGAATGGAGGAAGTGCCTGCTCCTACTGGTCCTTCTCTCTGAAAAGGAAGAAAGTATGTGATATGTGAAGGGTTTGGCGGTACAGAGAGGGGATACTTTAAAGTACTTCTGCTCCTTAGGGGCTGCTTCCCATCCATGATCTTGTTAAATCTTCACTATAATTCTTTCAGGTTGGCACCAGTGCACCCATTTCATGGATGGACAAACTGAGGCTAAACCTAAAAATTCCAGTTCTAGAAGTTATGACTATAACTTACCCTAACTACTCTCTTATAGACTTTGTCTTTTAAACCCAGATTACCAGGTGTAAGGCAAAGTGAGCATTTTAGATACTGCATATGTATCACCACAAAATACTGATATTATTTATACAGTTCTTCTATCTATACAGTGGTTCACCACTGTATCTGGGCAGTCAGTTACTCTTTTTCCACAATATATCACCAAAACAAATAATCTGTCTGTTCTCCGATTAAATGATTTCATTGGTGACATCATCAGGAAAGTATTTTAAGCTTGAATTTCTTTTTCTATTATTTGTGTTCCTTGATGCTAGTTCATTAACAAGATGAGACAGAATCTCTTTGGGTAGGAGGTGAAGGCAAGGGGGAGAATGCAGCATACACACTGTGGCAGCAGTAGCATAGACACTGTGGGAACAGTAGCATAGACTTGCCAATATGAACACAAATACCAAATCCTGGGGCAACACAGAAGTTAGAACAGTAGCCATGAGCGCCTATGGCAGTGGCTAATCCCAGTACACTGGGAGGCTGAGGCAGGAGGGTCACAAATTCTAGTCCAGCCCTGCAACTTAACACCTTAATGAGACTCTGTCTCAAGACTTTTAAAATAGGGCAGTAAAGGCCCCGGGTTCAATTTCCAGTACCACAACCCAAAATAATGTTTTCTTAAGGTATCATTGAAATGTAATATTTAAACTATATAACGTGTAAGTTTCATATATGTTTATATGTGAAGCTATTTCCACAGTCAAGTTATTCTGTATAGCTATGAACTCCCCAAAATTTCTTTCTCCCATTTTAATCCTCTCTTCATTTCTCCCCACTACAATGTGTACCAGCACAGCAAACCACCATAGGCAGCCACTCTCCTGCTTCTTGGCACTGTATGTTTACACAATCTAGAATTTTACATAGATGGAATCGTGTAATATATACTCTACCTCCACTAGACATAATTATTCTGAGATTTAAACACCGTGTTGTATCCATCTATACTTTGCTTAGTGAGTTAATGCCAAGAAATATCCCCTTGTATGGTTATACCACAGTTTATTATGCATCCGTGTGCTCATAGACACCTGTTGGATTTTTTGCCGTCTGAGGCTATTACAAAGAAATTGCTGTGAGGATTCATGTGTAAATCTTCGTGTGGACGCTTGTGTAAACATCTAGAAATGGAATGGCTGGGTCCCTGGGGACATGGATGTTTCACGTTTTGAAGAATGACAAGCTGTTTTCAAAAACAGTTGAACAATTTTACATTCCCACCAGCAGTTTAGAAAAGTTCTAGTCACTGCACAGTGTCCCCAGCACTCACTATGGCCAGCCCTTTTAGTTTTAGCCATTTGAATAGGTGTGTGATGGTAGCTCTTCATGGTTTGAAATTTCATTTCCCTGATGACTAAAGATGTTGAATGTGTTTCCATGTGCTCATTTTCCCAAATAGCTCTATGTACTCTTTGATGGGAGTTCACACTGTCACTTCTCTTCTTAAATTTGAGCCCATTTCCTGCAGTTAGAAGCTCCCTAGGGGAGAAAAAGCCCATCTAGGGACTAATAGTTCTTTCTTGCTACTTTGCAGCACAGCACACTGAAACACACTACAGCAAACAGTGCTGTCTGCTCTTCCTTCTAAGTCGCTCTGGTATTAGGTAGTGTTATTTACTCTTTTCATTTTAATTAGCATTAAAGTGCAGCTTGGACCCAAGAAGCTTTGTCATTTCAGTGGCACTGCCTCGACGAGATCATGGGAGTGAACTGGGACGATCACAATATTTTGAGCAACTTTATTTGTGTTTTCCAATTATTTTATGATTGTTATTGCTACCATTCTGAGTTGCATGCCCTAAACCTTAGATCTGTTAGAGCGAGGATGTCAAAGCCGAACATAATGGAAGTTTTGAGGAAAATTGATAGAAACACAGTGTATAGCTCTTCCACATCTTATTATTTATTTATCTACTTTTCAATGTAAACCAAATCTTATTTCACGGAACGTTTTTCAGGTGACTTACAGTGAGATATACAACATGACAAGACAGCATAAATTAAAAATGAGGTAACACAAGATGGGAGGGAAGACTACACTAGAGCTGATAATAATGCAAAAACTGCATTTCTGCACACCTGCTGTTGAGGAGCGGGTCACAAACAGAGCCCACAGCCCTGCAGCCAGCAACAGAATAAAGAAAACTTGTCAGATATACAGTTTCACGACGTCTACGAGATAAACACAAACCAATTGCTCAGGAAAATTCTAACTGTTGTTCACACAGAGGCCAGACAGGAATTGTTCCCCGGAGTCCTCATAAAGAAAACACTGTGTGATGTAATGAACAGCGTCCTCGCCGCAGTCTTACGGAGGGCGCACAAGTGGGTTTCATAGCCTTGTTCCACATAATGATGTTTCTGTGTAAAAGCGATCTGGGGAAGGGAGGGGAGGCGGAGGGGACCGGTGGGGACAGCTATGCCAGAGGTCCCCAGTTTTCTGCTAATCTATCTCCATCCTGGGATGCTCTAAACATAGCTAGTGAGTGAATATACTTGATAACTATTTCTCCAAGGAAATCTCCCTAAGTATTGTCTCCCTTGTCTGTATTTCAGGGAATATTGAGAAGAGAATATTTTTATTACACTCTCTGGCAAATGCTTGCATGGCTAGTTAAATCCAGGCTTGTATACAGCAGTATGGTTGGAAATAGATTGTACTAGTCATAGGGTTCTTCAGGGAAATAGAACCAATAGCACCCCCCGTGAATGCACACACAAAAAGAGATACATTACGAGGAATTGGCTCACAGGGTTATGGAGGTTGAGAAGTCATACAAGCTATTGTCTGCAAGCTGAAGACCCCAGGAAGCTGGGATGTCATTTCATTACAAATTCGGAGGGGCTGGTGTGTAAATCCCAGGTCAAGAGGAGAAGACCAATGGGTCAGTTCAAACAGGTGGGCAGGAAGCAAAGGGGCAAATTCCTTCTTCTTTGGCCTTTTTTGTTGTATTCAGTTTCTTGAAAGACCAGATAAACCCACCTACTTTGGGGAAGGCAGTCTATATTACTGAGTCCCCTGGTTTAAATGTTGATTTCATCCCGAAGCATCCTAACAGACACACTCAGAAACATTGCTTTGTCTGGGCAGCCTGTGTCCCAAGTTGACACCTAGCATTGATCATCACAGAGGTTAACATCTTTCTACAAAATAGGAGGTGCCTGTCAAGACATTACCGTCAGGAGATGGCTGTAGTCCCAACGGGAGACAGGCCAAGACAATACCTGTTTCTCCTGAGGCACTGCTTTGGCTCTGATCCAGCACTAGGCTTTACAAGACTTGCTGGGGTGACAGCCTGAGAGTTTCTAAAGCGAGTGAAATGGGCACACTGTAGCCAAAGGAGTGGCCCTATGGCATCTGCAGCAGGTCCAGGCTTTTGTAGTGCTGTTTCCTGGTATAACTTCCATTGTAAGCTGAGGAATTTCATTATCTCACCAAAGATAGGAACTTTTTAATCTACTTCTTTGATTCAGGAAAGAGTCTTGGTTTTCCAAAATTGGGTATCAGTGGTTGTTCTTTCAGCAGTTGTTCTGAAGCAGTCATTGGACTCCCAGATAGATGTTTACCTATCTCTAGTTTGCCAACCACCATATTAGATATTTAAATCTTGGCTACCTGTATCATGTAGAGAGTGTTTGTCTCGCTTTTCACAGAGCAGAACTCTGTAGGCTGCTTTTCTTTAAGTGCTTTCAGATGAAAACATTAAAGAGGAACACCAGCTCACATCTCTAGTTTGTGCCCTCCTGGAAACTTTATATGCTCTTCTGGGACTCTATTTGTTACTGTTGGCTTTCACGCAATTACAATGCAAGTTTTTGCCCAAGACCTATGTGGAAACACCTGTACCTGAGCCCAGAATACTCCTACAGCTTCAGGTGAAAGGCTTAACAAAAGGCCAGTAAATATTATGAACAAACTTGTCTCATCCTGGATGGGTCTCTTGTTGAGGTGAAGAGGTTAATGCTGTGGTCCATGGCCAAAAGCCTTCATTCAAAATTCCTTGTGACACATTGATCTAAGAGACTGAAACTTTTCAGTTTTTGAGCAATTTTTCAAGGAACTAGTGGTGTGTATTTAAAGTAGGACATCGTGTATGCAAAGTGGCTTACAGTTTGGGGAAGCTGCTTTAGAATAAGAGTACAAAGAGGTAGGACTTCACTGATAGACTTGTCTCTGCAACACTATAAAAACGTAAATGGGTACCTCTTTTCTAAATGATAACTAGGCAGTATTTATGCAAAGTTTTAAAGGTTCATATTCACCTGTGGGTGATTTTATTGTTGGTAGTGTATAAAAAATAACCAGGAATGGGGATCAAATATACCTGCAGTATGCCCAATAGGATACAGTACTAGGAAGAATCCAAGTGTCCATCAAGAGAGATTAAGTAAATAAATGCTGGAATGAAGCAACTAAATATCTGATTATAGACCTTACTATAACACTGATACAACTATACCACTAGACGTTACTTAATAGCATTCTCACAGTATATAATTAAGTGAAAAGAACAAGTTATAAAGCAGTATATTCAATATCTTAACTTTTATTAAAACACATATATATATACAAACATACACATATTCATATAATACGTATATAATATATCCACATCCTTATATACATACGCATATACATATAATACTATCAAACAAATATGAATGCACTTGTCATTACAGATCATGTATGCTTTTTATTTTCAT